GACTGTGAGAAAAGCCTTACTAAAACAGCTTTAGTATATTATATCAACCGTGCTTCCCTTCTCCACCAAAATAGTTGCATTGTCAGAGATAACATCAAGATGGTCTGGAATTATTTGCTGTAAACAAATCCACATTGGCTGTTAGTGAGTGCTACCTTCTAACTTCTAGGACCTCTAGGTGCTTTACAAATAGACTGTTTTTATAGCTTCCTCTAGTACAGTGGTTTTCAAACTGTTCTGTGGGACCGTGGGGTTCCACAACAAGTCATCAGGGGTTCTGCAAAGAGCTTGGGGGTAAAAGCAAAGCAGGCTGGGAGGGGGTATGCCACCATTGCTGAGCTGGGTGCCTGGCTCTGTGTCAGCTCACTGGATGGGGTATGGGTTTCCTGGCAGAAGCAGTAATATGAAAGGGTTCCACAACGTTAGGAAGCTTGAGAACAACTGCTCCAGCACCTTCCCAAGTATTGAAGTCAAACTGATCATTCTCTAATTCCCCAGATCCTCCTTGTTTCCCTTTTTAGAAATGGGTACTATGTAAGTGTTTGGGGACCTCTCCTGACAGCTATGCACTCTTGATTTATCACAGTTTGCAGCCTTGCCTTTTCTTTGTTGATATTAATTTTACTAACTGGTAGCAGTTTATCTTTTTGTGAAGACTGATATAAAGCAGGCATTGAGCAGATGCTTCTTTTTTACATATTCTGTTAATACCTCACCTTCTCCACTGAGTAATAAACCTAGTTTCCCAGGGATTTCTTCCATATGACTTATGTTATTGTCTTAAATGAGTCAGATGACAAGAAATATTATTCACCTTTGCGCTCCTGATTTTTGTCCGTTTGTATTTCTGCCATTTGTACGTTAGTGATGCATCCTTCCCTCTATTGCTTGTACATGCATCTCTTTTTACATAGCTAAGAAACTCCTTGGGTAGCCACATGGGTCTCCTGTACTGCTTGTTATTTTTTGTCTGTGATGGAACAGCTAGACACTGGGCCCCCAGTACTGTTCTCCATAGGTACTTCTAACTCTCTAGGCCTCCTTTTTTCATTTGTCTGTCCTTACTGTTTCTGCTAATGGGAAACTGCCTAATTGAGCCTTGTTCTAAACCTAGCCATCCTGGTAATCTTACAATTTATGAATCTTCGGGAGCAGAAACATGGATTCTTTCTTTGGTACATTAATTTGTTAGGAGACCTTGTTAAAGCACATTTCCATCTTGCAAAATAGATGGGACCAAAGCCTGCCCCTGAGTCATACTTACTTGACAAGAATACCTAATAGAGTTTTTGTTCAAAACCATTTTCTACTCCAGGGCTGTCCAAGTGGTTGCTCGCAGGGCTGCATGTGGCACCTGAAGGTTTGGTGTGTGGCCCACAAGCTCCTGCCCAGCCACTGCTCTCTACTTTCATCTCCTTCCCACACCCCCATTACTACCTACCGCTGCAGCCAGGAGCAGGCTGTTGGAGTGCCTGAGTTGCATGTGTGGCAAAGAAAGGAGCTGGGTTGTTCACACTGTAGGTAGGTGGTACGGGGGGACGGGGAGGAACAGGGGTGGGTGCCGTGTGTGTGGTGAAGGGGAGCTGGGGTGCCTATGCTGGGGGGCCAAGGGACAGCCCACACAATTCTGGGGGCAGCCAGGCATGTGAGTGGCTGGGGAATACATTGGGCAGCCCACACAGCAGTTATACCTGGGGGGTGGGCACTGGGCTGCCCACACTGTGCACAGCAATGCGGGGGCTAGGCAGGAGCCCACTTGCCCACATCGCATGCAGCCCCCAGGTCTTTGGTCTGTGCAGCATGCAGCTCCCTGCTATTCAGAAGTTGGGCCACCCTGTTCTCCCCTGCTGGGTGCTGTGTCCAAAATCAGTGTTTAAGGTTTCTCTAGGGAAAATCATTTGTACAGCATGTAAGAAAACAGGGTCATGATTCATGGCTGGGAATCCTATGTACATATAACTAGGGAATGCATTAAACACCTTCATTTGCCACTTCTAATAAAAGTACTGTAGGCTTGGACACATCAAATGTATTGGCATTACATTAATTCTATCTAGCACATCTATAAAATTACTTATTCAAAGATCGGAGACATTTTTAATGTTGTGTCTTTCACCATGTTTCTTGATTCTTTGGTATTGCGAGTTTGGACAAGAAATAACGTATTAAAACTGCTCTAATTGCACAATGCTCGTTCACACCTCAGTGATACTGGAGAACACAAAGTCTGTTACCTTTTAGGATGCTAGTCTATCAGCTATGTGTAGATCAGGGTTCACATTGTGTAGATCAGGCCCTTCACGTTGTGTCTAGTTGGTGTCTTCTCTGTCCGGTTTTTCTTCTCTCCGACCTACCAGACCAACAAAAAACATGAAGATACTGGATTCAAAGTCATCTAAAAGTTTCCTTCCATAAGGGCTTTCCTGAAGTGCAGCCAGTGGTTAGATGGTACACATACAAATGCTCATCTTTTCCATTTTTGAATACAAGGAAAATATGGGGAAGGAGGCCATCTGTTTTTGTTTTGGGGTTGTTGTTTTTTTTTTTACACCTTGTATATCACAAATGAACATACTTATCCAAAGCAGTCTAGCCTGACTGGCACAGTAGAAAGCTGATGATGCTCCATCATAGCATGTATAATAATACCATCGAGATGTTCTCTCTTCCTTACAGTAGGACTCGGTACAAGGAAGTACAGTCCCTGGACCCAGTGCAGGGAAGAATGGTTCAAAGCATGCAATGGAACAAACCAATCCCATAAACAGGTGACAGTAGGTATTCTGTACGTCCTTCAGGAAGCCGTACTGAAACAGTTTGGTCCACTGTTATAGGAAATTCAGTGCAGAGGTGTGATGTTTTCACTTAAACAGTGCAGGATGTTCCTATTCAAAGTGATTTGAACACACTGGTGCAAGCTGCAATGGTGTAGTTCTGTAATGTAGTAGGGCTGGTAAACACTAAACCATTTCAGACTGGTTATCTATGAACTCATTCTGATATGAATCTGCATTCAGTAACTTCTGAAAACACAGACATTTGGGCAGGAGAGTAAGTTATAAAAACAAAGCAAGAAAAACAAAAATGGGCATCTCACTGCATTGTGGGGCAAAGCAGGATTCTGTTCTGTAATGTGTAATTCTGCCTTTTGTAAAATATGGGTGCACTAAAAGAAGCCAGATGGCTGCTTTTCTGAAGAGCCTTTTCCAGAGTAATAAAGCTGTAATACACAGACGTCTCTTCCCTCATTAGGATACAACTAAGTAGAGTTTGAAATAATAAGCTCTGGTTCCCATTTTCAACTGAAATCTGAACTCTGCTTTACATTCCTGACCCATAATGAAACTATTGCAAAAACATGCTTTTCCTCCACCAAAGCAGCATGCATTGAATTATAATGGTCCATTCTGCAATTTAGACCTTCTAATTTTCAACAGCCGTGTACTTTCAACAGAGGTGAAAGGTCTATTTTTCATTGGGGAAAATGTAAACAAGAATCCACCAAAAAATACAAGGAATGCATGTTTTTTCCTCTCAACCTGTGTGTTCTTTAGAGCAGCTCCAGTAGAGCAAATTAAGAGCAGAACAGATTTCCAGGCTGGCAGTCTTTCTTCTCTTGGGCAGGACATCTTTGAGACGTTGGAACTGATCCATAAGCCAAGTTCCATCTTGGATATGTGTATGTGGCTTTGGTTGAATTGACACAATGGGAAATGTGTGCCCACTGTGAGTGAGACAAAACATGGGCCAGTAGTCTGTATAAATGACAGGGCTAACTAATTTTCTGCCTTGCTTTGCATTTCAGTTATACTTGTAAAATGAGGTTCCCCCTCCCCTAATTGCCTCTTTCTTCTGACCCTTTAAGGTCCTAACACCCGTGTACAAAATGTAGTGCGTTGCCTTTTATTTTGCTTTCTGCTCCTTTTGCTGTATATGCATCTCACTGTTTTGTTGTCTGTTCTTCCAAGAAGAGCAGTTTGTAGAATGGGATATCAAGGTTTGGTGTCTTAGGTGAAGTCTGCTGTGAAAGCTAAGGCATAGATTGCTTCTTTCCATGGAAAGGGCAAAATAGTTGGCCTGATGGCTCCTCAGGCAATTCTTTGCAGTTGGCCCTGCTGGAAACAAGCAGAATGCAACAGGCTACAGTGGATTTGCTGAAACAGCTGCTACTTTGATTTCAAAGCTGGGATTTTAACCTTGTGGAGGGGGTTCTGCTTTGGTATTAATACGTCTAGACCAGTAGTACTCAGCCTTTAACCTGGGGTCCATGTCATCCAGCCTGCAGGGCTCCCCATGGGTCCAGAAATTTGGCAGCAAGAAAGTGGTGGCAGCGTTAATTGTCACATCTTTCAAAGCCACAACAATTAATGCTGCCACTGGTCCACCACAAAATTTCCAGACTTGTGTGGACCCCTGTAGGCTGGGTGGCACCGGTGCACAGGGTTGGGCTGTGGCCGGATCTGGCACGTGGAGCTGGGCTGGTGCATATGATTGGGCTGCAGCTGGATCCAGCATGTGGGGTTGCACCAGCAGCCCAGCCCTGTGCAACAGCCCCCCACTGGATCAGGCCTATTGACTGACCCTGCTGTGGGGCCTTGTCTGTGGACTGGCCTCTCACCACTCATCTGGCCTGTGGAGCAGGAAGGTTGAGCCCCACTAGTCTAGAGCTGCCAATGTCTTATGGTGTTGGGGCGCTAGAGCCAGCACATATCTTTTAACCACTACATAGATTCTCGGAATACTGTCCACAAGCCTTTGAGAAATGGGAGGGAAGGATGGCTTGCCTGCCACCTACACAGCCAGGGCCCTGTGCCTGTTCAGAGGATGTACAAGGTTTGTTTGGTAATACAATGTACAGTACTAAAGTAATACAGCATGGCCGGCTGTGCTCCTAGAGTCTGACTGTGATGGAATTTGCTCCTGGCTGTAAAAAAAAGAAAAGTGGTTGCAAGGATTCCACTGCTTAAGAAGTGGGGGTGGGGAAAGTATTTAGTATGTTTTGAATCATGAATGGCCTAACAGAAGAAATACTGTAAGAAGAGGCAAAATCTGCATTTGATCAGCTCTGTGCTGTTCAGCAGAAATGCTCGGAATTGGGTAAGTAACTGCGAGAATAAAGCAGCGCACAGTTCTAAATGCCCACACTGTGACTTTCAGATAATTGCCCCTTTACGTCCTGAACAGCTTCTGGCTTCTGACCTTGTGACTGCTGGTTATTCAGCTGCAGCTTGGAAATGTGCAAGGATTTACATAGCCAATATTTAATGAACGATATGCTGAACTTTACCATGGCAACTTTGAATAATTACGCTTAATAAATGTGCACATGAAAGTGCTTTATGTTGCTTGAGTATAAAAATCTCCTTTCGTCCCCACCTGTTTCTGTAGAGAAATTAACTTTCAGAGTGCTTTAAAAAATGTTGCTAGCTGCCGTGATGCGTATGCAGTGGTCGAGCCACTGAAAGTGTCTTGCCACAACAAATCCAGAGGTGTGACCTTAGAGCCTCCCTCCAGACTCGCTCATAGAGGCAAGGCAGCTATGAATGGGTATGTGAATGTGGTCATTTCCTGGGGAGTCAAAGACTCTAGATAATATTTAGTTAGCTACGTGCTGTTGGCTCCTGAAATTGCTAGCCTGAGGCGCTGCATGGGCTTAGGAGAGACCTTTTATCTTCTTAACTCTCGTTCAAGAAACTCCTCCCATCTTCTCTTACTCCTACAGACATTCTTAAATTATGTGTATAAGAATAGACCTAAACATTGCTTATAGATAAATATTTTTAATTGTTCAACTTCGTATTTCTGTCTATGTCCTGCCACTGGAATTTCAGGACTCCACTTAATAGTCTTGGATGTGAAATTAGTTGCACTGAGGATTCAGTTTTGAAAGGACAAAATCAAATGGCTTGCTTCACTACCTTTTCTAAAATAAATATTAGCATTAATTCCAGCATTTGTCCCTAAATACACTCATTCTCTTCCAGCTTTTTTCACCATTAAACTAAGCACCATTTTTCCCCCAGTTGAATCTGCTTACCATCTTATTTAGTCTTTTTAATCAGTGGAATAGTAGAGTCACCCCAATCAAAAAGATGTTTCAACTTAAGATGTGTGAGCAGGTCCTTATTGGAATGTAGTTTTTGTACATTTTTTTTCCTGCCAGACTCTCTTGGGTACTCCTTTTATTTTTTTTTTCCCTTGCCCTCAGTGTTGCAACCCTTGATGGATTGGAAAGTAATGGAGGTGGCAATTGTAGTGCTGCTGCAGTGACCATTGCCATGCGAGGCCAAATGTTTGCTGAAGCACACAGAACTTGACTGAATCGATCAAACTGAAGGAAATACAACGTGGGGTAAAATATATCTTTGTGAGCTCTGCCAGAGCCAGATGGGAGTGGTCGCCTAGGTAACCAGGCTTTTACTGGCATAACTCAATAGCTCTGTCTAAAACAAATGGTGGGAGCAATTGCACCAGTGTAAGAGGAAGAAATGCACCACTTTTGATTAGGCACAAGTAATTAGCTCACTCCCTGTACAACAATAAATTATTTAGATTTAACGACAGACCATATGATGTTGTTTCCATAGTTCCGAGGAAAGGGATCAGAGTTTAATCCTGAGCTTCTGGGCCAAAAGAGGCTGGGAGCATGGAAGAAGAGAAATGTTCAGTGCTTGGGGCAGAGAATAAATACTTTTGTGCAACTCCCTAATTTATTTATTTATTTATTCTTTTGCCCCTTGGACAACTTGAGTGGCATTGACCTACTCTAGAGGGAGGGAGGGATGAATGGGCAGCCAACTAAATTATGAAGTCTAAAATATTCGGTGCTGCTTTATTCATAGATTAACATAGGAATGTTGTGGACACAAAATAAGAATTTTTATATCTTAGAAGTCAGATATGATGCATGATAGCAGATCTCCAGAAGTGAGCTTCTGTATGTACAAGGATGTTTTTGTTACACATGGATACTGGGGTAGGGGTCATAAACAGCAGAATACACTATTTATATTTCTGACTTGAAATAAACAGAAGTATAGTGTCAGGATGTATGGAATGAGATGATAAAGCATAGTCAGACTGAAGAGGAAAGTGGATGACAGCCAGTTTTCCGGTTTGATGTTAACTGTTTGGGAAACCTCTTAAATGTAAAAAAACAAATAAATGGCACATTATAAAATAAATCAGAACTAAGGAAATGCAAATTAATTATCCATGCTGTTACATGTTACCCCAAAACTTTGTTCACAGATTGTGTAATAATCCTATCAAAACCTCAGTGTGATGCTGTGTTTTTGAGACATCTGACTGGACAGCATCATTTTTTAAACTTTTAAAAGGACATGCAGG